TGGGGATGAAGATCTTGTTGAATAGATAACTTACTCTGTATTATTAAAGTAATCGTAAAATGAGGAATTTTTGAGGGAATTGTTTGTTGAAAGTTAAAGATACGAGGCATTTTCAAATGTAAATGAGTTATGTAAATCTTCAATATAAATCTATTTAGACAAATTACCTCTTGTGTTTTATTTTTAATTTCAAAGAATTCGGAATTCTACGTACTGAATAGTAATAATATGTAAAATTGTAGGGTTGAAAACTAAAATAACTCATGTTTTCCTGCTCTTTTATAAAAATAAGTTTTTAGATGGTATCTCGCTTTTTTATTTGGAGAAGTGTCTTGGCATTTAACAACTAGAGGCATTGAAGTTATTAGATTATGTTGTGATTGTGAAAAATTATCTGAAATATTGGAAGATTATATTGTGCTATGCATCTCAACCTAAAAAATATGAAATTTGTATTACATGTGTCAAGACTGTGTGAATCCTGGTAAAAGCATATGAATTAAATTTTCAGAAATAAAAAGAGCTTGTGAGTGGCTAAAAAAGAATTATTTCTTGTACTCTTCAATTTATATTCAAATTAGATGTTTCAATTTTTCAATCGACATGGTTTAGCCCCTGAGCTGAATTGGTGACTAATATAATATAAATACCTCGTCACAGCTCTGTAGTTTCTGTAGATTACAGCTATTTTGGCATCAAAATGCCATCCTTAGATATACATACATCCACCTGAATTGGCGTCGTTAAACTGTACACATACACGAACACGATAAAAACACGTAAAACAAGAGACAGGCCTGTCGCGTACATGATTGCTACGAGTACGGAAGCTGACCGTACTCGTAGCAATCATGTACGCGACAGGCATGTCTCTTATTTTACGTGTTTTTATCGTGTTCGTGTATGTGTACAGTTTAACGACGCCAATTCAGGTGGATGTATGTATATCTGAGGATGGCATTTTGATGCCGAAACAGCTGTAATCTACAGAAACATCAGAGCTGTGACGAGGTATTTATATTATATTAGTTTCAATTTTTATTCAAATTAGAAATTTCAAGTTTTATTAAAATTGGATATTTCAAGTTTTATTCAAACTGGAAGAGCGGGAACTTCGACGCATGATTTTAACTTGAATCAAGTTTACAAACCCGATCCTTCAAGTTTGCAGATTTGACAAACCAAACTTATTTCAAGCTTGAATCAAGTATTTTTTTCAATTTATATTTAGATTAGATAGTTCAAGTGTTATTCAAATAAGATGTTTCAATTTTTATTCAAATTAGAAATTTCAAGTTTTATTCAAATTAGATGTTTCAAGTTTTATTCAAACTGGAAGAGCGGGAACTTCGACGCATGATATTAACTTGAATCAAGTTTACGGACCCATCCGAGCAAACTTGATTCAAGTTTGCAGATTTGACAAATCAAACTTGTTTCAAGCTTTAATCAAGTATTTTTTGCTATCTGGGATAGTACTTAATAGAGTATAATCTTCACAGAGAGTCCGATATTATTGTTACTTAAGCTTGATATATATATATTGTTATTGTTGTTTAGTTATACTTCAATTGTTAATTGTTGTATTTTCTTTTTCTCTCAAATATTTTTTTGTAAAGTGGCATGTACCATTGGAAGCATAAATAAATAGAATAAATAAATAGCTTAGAATAAATTATGTATATTTAAGTTGATTTAAAAACTATTCACAATACTGTTCAAAAACTATTTACAATTTGCTAGGTACTATGTTCTCCAGATTCACACATGAGCTGAATGAATGTTCCACAAATTTGTTATGTTAACAAGTACAGGCAAGGCCACACTAAAAAAAAACATGCCGTAATGCTCGTCTAGCATGACGTCACGATAGAAGATGGCAATGACGTAATGTTTGCCGTTTGTGATCAGCTGCATGTTTTAATCTTTTCATCGAAAACAAAAATATAACCTTAATTACGTCATTGCCGTCTTCTATCGTGACGTCATGCTTGACGAGCATTACAGCCTGTTTTTTTAGTGTGGCCTTGGTACAGGCCTACTTTTTGTTCTAGAGTAATTTACAGTTTTCAGATCAAGATATATATCTAAGAGTATTTACAAATTATTTAAACTGCTGTTCACTGACTATTTACAATTATATACATAAAACTGTTGGTTCTCATAAGAGCTGGAGGTGATACCATTTCCCTAAAAAGAAAATTCGATTAGCACCATGCCGTTGTCATTCTAATCTGTATGAATGAATACAACTAAAGTTTGGTCTGAACGTTGGGTAGGTTTGTGATGTTTTTTCTTTCATTATTTACGATATAACTGACCAAAAGATAACCGTCCAAACGGGCTCACAGCTAGTTATTGATAATATCAAATCATAAGTGTTTTTGTTAAGCCGACTTCAGCTTATGAAAAACTGAAACCAGTGTAAGTAATCGTAAATATATATTTCATCTAAAAACTATGTTTTATTCTCAAACAAAGTGTAGGTCTGTACTTAATAATACCACAATGAATTTGGACAACATTCTCTGAACATAACTATAAATACTGTACTAAATAGTTTGAAATTGTAAACAGTAGCGTAAATAGTTTGTAAATACATTAACCTTAAATATATACCTTGTTCTAAAACTGTCTATTATTTTAATACCAAATGTATACAGTACCTAATATCATCGCAATTATTTGTTTTTTAGGCTCAATACTATTGTTATTTGATGCGGATTACAAAAATGATGTTATTTAATACACTTTATGGTGATATACAAAAATTGTACCAACTATGCATTGAGCCCAGTCGGTGATCATGGTCAAAACCCAGAGCAGCCGAGCCAGGGCTAATTTAGGGGCTGGGACACCACCCGACCGTCCTATTCCCTCAGCCGCCACGAATCTTTGCGGAAGGTATAGGGGATATTATACCAAAAGTCCCTATAAATATGAGGCAAGCTCTAGCGGCAATTAGTGAAAACAGGGCACCTTTTTTAGTTTTTGGCTTAAATCTCGAGAACCATTGGTCGGAATTAAAAGTGACTGTATACCAAAATGAAAGATCATTAAATTTTCAACAAAAATGATACCTACACTTTTATTTTATTCCTAATGGTTACCAAGTAATTGGGCGCTAAAATATGGCGTTTTTTTTTTTCAACAAAATACCTACTTTAGTTTGCACCATTGTTCGCTCCCTCGACAGTTATTGAAGAATAAACCCTATATTTTAACATCATATAACTCGGTAACCATTAGGAATAAAATAAAAGTGAAAATATAATTTTTTTTTGTAAATTTAATGACCTTTCATTTGGTAAATAGTCACTTTTAGTCAACTTCGACCAACGGTTCTCAAGGTTTTAGCCAAAAATAAAAAAAGGGGTCCTGTTTTCGCTAATTGCTGCTAGAGCTCGCTTCATATTTATGGGAACTTTACTTTTGGTATAATCTTCCCGAGGTACCTAGAAATAAGTGTCCAAAATTTAAAAACTTTCGGATTTTTTCGGAGGTTAAACTTTTTTTTTACTGGACTAACATCTTTTGTCATGGGTAAGGTGGGAGCAACTATATTTTATTGGGAAGAATCACAAAAGTTGCAGTAACTTTTGAACTGTAATTTTTACAGCAATTGAGGGCTATACTATTTTGATTAGAATTACAGTATAATAACCATAACATAGTGTTTAAAACTGGCTTTTTTTAATCCAATTGTTTGTTACTCTATAGGTTTTTATGGGAAAATATCATGAGTTACAAAAACTTTTTAACCCTAACTTTTACAGCAATGGGTATTGTACCGTTTTGTTCAGAATTTAAAGGGATCAAACTTCACAAAAATTTTATGAAAATCGCTCAGGCCATTTTTGAGAAAATTAAATTTTTCCGATTAATTTTTTGGGTTTTTATGCGAATATCACAATTAAAAATCATAAAAATCAAAATTTAAAAAAATAATAAAACGCCAGGAGAGACCATTGATTAGTACCTACATATACCAAAAATCATCAAAATCGGACTGCAGGTGTGGTCTATAGCTCTGTGTACACAACCACACATACAGACAGTCAGACACACATACACACACGGACATCACTTCGAAAACCATTTTTTGGGTTGAGGGGGGCCCAAAACATATATAGGCCTATCCACTCAAAACTTAAACTCAAAAATGTTGACGAAAACAATACTTTCTCCATTGTAGGGGGAGAAAGTAACTGATATTGTGTTCACTACATATTGTACACCTAACATTGTAAGGTCAGCTAAGCTGGTTAACCGTGCAGTGTTGCGGATCACACTGTCCTCTTGAATACTGATATTGTGTTCACTACATATTGTACACCTAACATTGTAAGGTCAGCTAAGCTGGTTAACCGTGCAGTGTTGCGGATCACACTGTCCTCTTGAATACTGATATTGTGTTCACTACATATTGTACACCTAACATTGTAAGGTCAGCTAAGCTGGTTAACCGTGCAGTGTTGCGGATCACACTAACCTCTTGAATACTGATATTGTGTTCATACATATTGTACACCTAACATTGTAAGGTCAGCTAAGCTGGTTAACCGTGCAGTGTTGTGGATCACACTGTCCTCTTGAATACTGATATTGTGTTCACTACATATTGTACACCTAACATTGTAAGGTCAGCTAAGCTGGTTAACCATGCAGTGTTGCGGATCACACTGTCCTCTTGAATACTGATATTGTGTTCACTACATATTGTACACCTAACATTGTAAGGTCAGCTAAGCTGGTTAACCGTGCAGTGTTGCGGATCACACTGTCCTCTTGAATACTGATATTGTGTTCACTACATATTGTACACCTAACATTGTAAGGTCAGCTAAGCTGGTTAACCGTGCAGTGTTGCGGATCACACTGTCCTCTTGAATACTGATATTGTGTTCACTACATATTGTACACCTAACATTGTAAGGTCAGCTAAGCCGGTTAACCGTGCATTGTTGCGAATCACATATCGCCCTGTTGCATATATATACTTACAGCAATCCAGGTTTTTCAAATATGCTGAACTGGTTTTGCAAATGAGTCATCTCATTGTGTAGCTCAGTGAGCACTAGTAGAAGCAAACATTCTTTTTCATCTGACAATTGCTCCTGAATGTCTTCTATCTCTCTGAGGACGTTGCGGCCCTTTGATATCAGTGTGAGCACATTGTAAGCCACCTCGTTAGGAACCTTACATTCCATCAACTCAAACTGCCTGAAATCAATTAGAACATTGGTTTACTTAAACATTCACTATTAGCATGCACATCTTACAACCATAATCTTCGATTAGGCAGCCCAAGTTTCCCAGGCGAGTAAACGAGCCTATAACAGCCTTGTCTCCCTAGTTAAAAATCTCTTCTTTTCACTTGCTTACATGATAATTTTCTGTCAGCATTTAGTCCTCTTTTGAGACCATTTATGACCATTCATTTATTTGATATTATGAAGTCTTACCTTAGCAATCCTGTTGTGATACAATGAAATCGATTTCAAACCCGAAGGTTCATCGTCAGTCGGGATCTAGGGTGACCAAATTGAAAAATTGCATCCACGTGAAGGGTTTTGTAGAATATGAGATGACACTGAGTACCTTACAATTACAGTAGACACGAAATTGACACATAAATTACAAAAACCATAGTTTTTTTAAATATGGGTTAACCCCACTTTGCTTTGCATATTTGTATTATATCATATTATACAAACCCTTTGGGTGGATACAATTTTTTGAAAATTGATCAACCTACATCCCGACTGACATAGACTGTTGAGGGGGGGGGGGGCACAGTGGAATGTGACCCTCAACTTTTAGGAATCTTATATATTTAAAAAAATTGGTTTTTCTTTTGGGAGTTTGTTTGGCTCTTCTACCCGACCGAGTTTCATGATTGAGGTCTCGAATTGTAGGTATGCACGCACAGATTTACCATCAAGCAACGGCATATATTTATCTATAATCCCACTCGGTGTATACGTAAACGAAATTTGCTCCCCATGTATTTCTTATGGGAGTTAAATTTGGGTTTTCTTTGCCAAGTTCGTTTGGCTCTTCTACCCGACCGAGTTTCATGATTGAGGTCTCGAATTGAAGGTATGCACGCACAAATTTGCCATCAAGTATCGGCATATATTTATCAATAATTCCACTCGGTGTATAAGTAAATGAAATTTGCTCCCCATGTATTTCTTATGGGAGATAAATTTGAGTTTTATTTTCGAGTTCGTTTGTCTCTTCTACCCGGCTGATTTTCATGATTGAGGTCTCGAATTGAAGGCATGCACGCCAAGTTTTCACATAAAGCATCGGAAAATATTTATCTACTGTATTACTTGACCAAAACACATAATTTGATTTATTTCTCTAACTCTTACTTCAATTTAAGATGTACCTTCACCAGTTATAATTTTATGTTATCTCCAAGGAGTTTTTTTTCCATTTTTTTCATTTTTAATTTTCATTTTCCCATAAAATAAAGGAAAAATCTGATTTTCTAATAAAAAAGCTCAAACGATTTTGATAAAAATGTTGTATGTTGTAGCCCTTTAAATTCCGAACAAAATGATACGACTTCCATGTCTGTAAAAATTACAATTCAATATTTAAAGTAAATTTTGTTATTTTTCCATAAAAACCCCCATAAAAAAAGGAATTTAGAAAAAAAGCCGGTTTTGTTTTAAATTAGTACCTATGTTATGGTCCTTAAAACTTTGAAAGTTTTTTTTAATTTTTTGAAATTTGATTTTAATGGGGATTTTCCCATAAAACCCCATAAAATTACAAAAAATCTGATTTTCTCGAAAATAGCCTGAACGATTTTCTTAAAAATTTAGTATGTTACATTCCTTTAAATTCTGAACAAAATGGTGCAAATTCCATTTCCGTAAAATTTACGGTTCAAAATTTACTGTAACTTAGGTATGTTATCTTCCCATACAAACTATAAAATAACAAAAAAATTGGATTTTTGGAGAAAAACTAGTTTTGATGAAAATTGATATGTTATAGTCCTTATAATTTAAAAAAAAATTTACAACACCCCATTTCTGTAACAGTTATGGTTCAAAAGTAATTGCAGCTATTGTGATTTTTAACTATATACTATCACCGCTTACCCATGATGATAAAGGTTCAGAATGCTGATGACGTTTATTTATTTCAATGCCATTTGAAGTTTCATAAAATGTATATGGTAATGCAATCTTTGGTGGTTTTTTATTAATACAGCATATTTGACGGAAAAACACAAAAATTCTGTCATGACCATAACAAACGTAAAAATGAATATTGACAATAGTTAATGGTATTTATATAAATATGTTTTGCTATAAATAGGTTTAGTTTTAGGGCCATTTTGCAATAAACAGCTCACTAAGCTTTTGGTATTTCTGAAAAAAAATATTTAAACACATAATAATAATATACACAAATACAGTATCTTCAAAGTAAAAAGCCAGGGACATTAAAACGTAAGCTTCAAAATTTTTACTCTTGTATGTAAGCAATCCAGAGGCTAAAATGATTGATGATTTACTTATTGGTCTTCCAACGCTTCTATTTTGAGCCAGACTTTTCCTACTCTTCATTGATTCATTTTTTCTGAGACCATACTAACAAAGTCTTGCACTTTTACATCGAGAAAGGGAGAATTATACTGTACTTAGATGGATAATAAATTTATTTAACATGATAGTCCTACGTAAGACCGCTTAGATAATTGTTGATAGATGTTAACACAACATAGGAACCACAGTGAGTACAAGTTAGATACAGTAGAACCTTAATAACAAGACTCTCATGGGGATTATAAAATAATACTTGTTTTCAAGGTTGTCTTCTTATCAAGGTTTGCAATAACATGTGATTAGGGGTAAAATAAATTCTAGGGGACTTAAAGATGACACTTGTAATCAAGGGTGACTTGTTATCGAGGGTCTTGTTATCGAGGTTACACTGTATATACATGCTTTAAAACCAGCATACTGTTACATGCATTCTTGCAAAGGCTAATCAACTAAAAATCTCGGTGATTATAGCCCATTTTTTTCATAAAAATGTTTACGATTTGTCTTAACTTAATTGTAGTTTTGAAATGCATTACATTTTTTATTACATCTTTCCAATACCATTGAAAATTATTGCCGTCCTTCATTTTATGAGCTATGTTTACAAAATCAGCCAGTTTTCAATTGCGTAGCTTATGCCTTCAATTTTTTAATAAGTTAAAGATAAACCGCTTGCTCCTGCATCAAGTGATTGCAACTGTGATGTTACTACAAATTTTCTAAGCTTTGTAAACTCTAAGTTTTAACTTTTGGCCAACTTACAAGTAGAGTCTTCCCTCTAAGTGAGAAGTGACCCATGAGTCGGAATCATCATAATTCTCATCCCAAGGCATCCATAATTGGTTGTAAAAAAATCTGAAATTTTAACAGGTTGTAAAAAAATCTGAAATTTTAACAAAAATCTTGATTTATTACAAGCATTGAATTTTAGATATTGAAGTAGACATCCTATCTATATGGACCAGCTGTAGCAAATATTTTACTAAAAAAGAACGTTGTTGTGTGAGCCAGTCACAAAATGTGCAAAGCCTAAAATTCTATTTTATACCTTATTTTTTGTTGCTGACCAGGTTGATGGGTCAGTTGCTATAGCTCACTTATAAGTCATTCCCTAAGTTCAACTTGTTAAAAAAGTTTGTGTACTCGACATAATATATTAATTTAGATCAGCACAATCTGAAGGTGGCTCACATCAACTGTAATTTTGATAAAAAACCTGGCTAGAAATTTAACATGGGGATGGAATGTCTACTTAAAAGTCAAAGATTACAAGTAACAATTCAGAATGTAAAAACAAAATTTATTTCCAATTAAAAGATCTTTACAAATATTTAGGATCACAACCATGTTTAGTGGCGGTCCCTGGATTTTATTTGGGGGGGATGACCACAGAGGGTCTGGAATATCCCCCCAAAAAAGGGGAGTCAGGGTCCTTCCCTCCAGAAAAATGTGGCATTGAAAGCCTAAAAACATATTTCTATACACATTTGAGCTCTAGAAATATGCTCAAACTAATAGTATATTTATGTTTAGCTAATGACGGAGGGTGAGGACAATTGGACCTGTGTGTCACATTATATCCAGGGTATTCTCCGCGCCAAGAAGATCGACCTTGACCGGGATGCGGTGTAGGTCATTAAGAATCTAAATGCCAGAAACGGTGCGAGCCCTGAGGGCTTAGGTCACATGTTGGCCTGTCTTGAAGTAATGTGACAAACAATTCCAGGTCTGTGTCCAACAGAGTAGAGGGGGTTTTTTAGTGAGTAGTCTGATAATTTTCAGGAGTCTCACACTACAGGCTGGCTACCTGTGTGTGTAAAAGCATTTTCCCTCCTCTCCCTAAGAAAAAGAAAAATGTTTAGCTAATAAAATATAAAATATTTCGGGGGGGATATATGCCTCCAATCCCCCTCTGGGACCGCCACTGACCATGTTTTATCTAGAATAGGACAACATTGATTTGAACATTGATAGAATTGACAAACAAGGTCAATCTTACCTGAGACTATCAATAGCCTTGGCTGTGTCGAAAAGTTTTTCAACCACATTATTTTTATCCTGTTCAATTGTCGGATATAATTCTATCAAAGGAATATCAGTCATCCTTAAAGGAAGGCAAGCAACTCCATCTTCAACTTGATTGATTTGGACAGTACACGACAATTCTTTAAAGTTAATAAGATCGACCTGCAAAAATGTTGGATTTCAAAAACAGTTTTAATGGATAAAATCACTAATGTAGACCTAATGTTAAGAAAGGATTCAATTCAATTCAATTCAATTATTTAAGATGGGGACGCCACTATGTGCGTATTTTAACCCAAATATGAGTGAAGGGTGAGTGTAGGATGATTCAAACAAAAGTAGATAGAAATCTCAAGCTTAACACTAAACTTGTTGGAGTGGTATACACTACGTACAGTTACAGGAATAACTGTTCTGAAAAATGTTTTCGCTCTTAAAGATTACTGTTATTTAATGGGATCAACTAACCCAGCGATAATGAGGCCTACCTTGACTCCAAATAGATTCTACAGGGTTGAAATGACCAATACTAAAAAATACAAATTGGATAGGTCCATTTAGGGAAAAAATGGCTCTCTGAAAAGATATCTGAGGCTCTGACGGCAAGGAAGACGGAAAATCATCCAGCAAATCCAAATGAAGAACAACCTCTCCCACCTGGCACCAAGTCTTTGTTGGGATATTTTACACTACTCATGATCAAAATCCCCAAACAAAAACTACCAACACTAGACCGTCAACCATAGAACTCTCACCAACAAACTTTAGTTTTTATCACTGTAATGTCCGGTCAATGATGTTGAGATTTAGTAATATATCTCTAATCATGTTTCTAAGTCTGTGATTAATATTAATTAATGTTTTAGTAACAGATGATTTGTGAGTCTTTAAGTTGAATTTGAATAAACAACATCATTCAGGTTTTTGTTAAAATAACTTTTTATAGTTTTCTAGTTAGTGATAATTTGTAGATTGTCGGAATATTCAACATGGTAGCAGAAACCCGTGGTTCAAATTCACTAACTAATTTCATGTTTGTCTTGAGTCAATGTTAATTTATTTTGCAAAAGTTACTTTGTCAATGCATTGTATTAAATCAAAATCACTAAGGATGTCAACATATTTTTCTTCAGCTAAGTTAAGTGATGGGTTTAAAATATTGCAATTTATATCACCAGAGAAAATACGAACATACTCTGGATGGGAAGTGGAATTATAATATAAACACATTCAAAAAACAATTGAAGGTTAGAATTAGGGCTCCTGTAAGGCTAGTAATTCACAAGGTTGTCCGTCCCAGTCGAAGGTCAGAGATAAGGCAGTGGCCACGCCACCGATCAACAGCTGATTAAAGGTTGCAGATAAAGAGTTATCTAGATATACAACTACACCATCGCTTTGTACAACTACCCGGAATACTTTCTAAAAAAGAATCTGTTTTTAACCATGCCTCTGTTAGTACTATGCAATTAAAATGTATTTATTCCTTGGAGAAACGCACAAAATTTGTCAAAATTTTTATTGTAGCTCCTTATATTCTGATGGATTATTCTAAACCTTAACCCGAAATTACTTTGAGATAAATCAAAACAAGAATTAAGAGTACTTATATCGGAGTAAACATTACATTCTTTAGTTGGAAATTCGTTATAATCTTCCTCGTTTAACATGTCCATACCCGGTCCCTATTGCAAAACCATCCAGCCTTATTAATTAATTTAACAGATCCAAAGTCGTGTTCCTTTTTGTTTATTACGAACCTAAATATTAATTATTATTCATATAGGAATGTTCTGCTATAAATACACTCATATACACACATATTTAATTAACATTTAAATCCTACAATGCCAAGGAGATTGGAAAATCACAAAAAATAATATTTCCGATAATTATAATTTTATCTTAGTCTTATCTAAAGACACATCCTTACCACATTCCTTTCATCAAGGTAAAATTACTACTAAAATGAAAATATACGCCAACATTTTTAAACAAGGTGGGTTTTAGTCTCTTATAAGGAAGGGTTATTGGCAAAATGTAATTGTTAGATAGAAGACCAACCTTAAATGATTTAAGATTTGAGACGTTATTTTTTGAAATTGTTGAGGTTTTTTTTTTTTAAACATACTGATATTTTAAAAGTGGATGACAATTTAATAGAATGAAATAAATGAACAAATGAATGGCAAATGTTTCAGCTGATTTTAATATAGACATTTTGTCAAAATCACATGAAAGAGAATCATTTTTGAATTTATTGCGATCCTTTGACATGTATTGGTTGAATGAGGAACCGGCCAAGGGGGGGGGGGAAATGCATAGATAATATTGTAAGTAATTTTGATAGAAAGAAAACAATTTGTTGTGTAATAGAACCTCATTTATCGGATCATGCGGGGGTATATGCTCAATTTAAAGAAAGTTCTGTGGAAAGTGTGATGCATAACAATGTTTTGACTAAGAAGGCAGAGAACTGACACCTGAAGCACTTTTCAATTTAAAAAGTAAACTGTCACAAATTGACTGGACGCAGTTATGTAGTATAAGAGATGTAAATATAGCTTTCAATCATTTTAATTTATTGTTGACAAATTCATATAATGAATGCTGTAGAGTTAAGGAAGTTAAGGTGAAAACTAGAAAAAAGCCTGACTTAAAATGGTATACACCAGAATTGAAGAGCTTTAAAGTGTATGTAAATGCTTTTTATGACAGATATAAAAATAGCTTGGGCACAGAAAATTAAAATATCTTCAAACAAAAATATATACATACAAAAAAAGGTACAAACACAAAGTTAACTATTGCAAAAAAGTTGCAAATGAAAAGTACATTTTAAATTCCTCAAATAAATGTAAAGCTGTGTGGGCTTTAATAAAAACTGAGTCAAATTGTAAGGTCACTAAGCAAGAAAATTTATTAATTGATTCACTGAGAAAAAAGGTTTTAAAGAAACATGCTTGCCTATTAATATATAGATAGATAGATAGATTGTTTGTTATGTAATTTTCTGGTGTTTTTGTATTTTGTTATTGTTTTTATCTATAAATATTCTATTTTTCAATGTACCTTTTACTTAGAATAGGCTATTTACATACATTATATGCTTGTGACTTTGTCAATTGCACACATGTGTTTAAAGACAATAAAAATCTTTGACTTTGACAGTCAGCTATGGCTTAATGTTAAAGGCAGCTTGGTATGTTACAACTTAGACCAGAAACAAACACTATTGTGTGTCACAAGCTAACCCATAGAACTGATGATTTCAATTCATTCACTTAAATTTTTCCTGATTTATGTTTAATGAAGATGAACACATCCAACCAGAGTGGCATCTCATGCAATGGAAATCCCATTTCCGGTACCGGCATGGAATAAGAATATTTACTTTTCTTTAACTAAAACAATGCATTAGTCGAGGCGCTGAACGGGTTTGAGCATGCATAAAAGTGTAACGAAATTTGACTTTTGATTGTTGCTGTGCATACCTAGTAGATGAAGAAAATCGATGTTGTAACATTCCTAGGTTAATAACATAAGGGGGAGGGAGTGAAGTTGGGGGGGGGCGTACAAAATAGCTAATATTTCAAGAACCAAACGTCATATGAATTCGTTAGACATGTCAAACTGTACAGAAAAATGCTTTCTAAAAAACAAAAATATTATGTATTAGTATGACGAAAAACTATGAGATGTTAGTGAAAATTACATTTTTTGAATTTCCGACAAGTTTAATTAGAAATTATGATTTTTGTTGTTATTTAGAACCACAATTTTGAAGAGTTGTATATAATAGGGAAATAATATTTCTGTAGAATAAAACTATTGCGATACATGTCCGACTGTGCAGAAAAATGCATTCTACAAAAATGATTATACATCAGTTGGTCAAAAAACAAGGAAATGTTATTCAAATATCTTTGAAACGGTTAGGTTTATGAAAAAAATCACAAGAATAAAATCGTCTTAAAATTACATTTTCTACCGAAATACATCATAAAATACAGGATGTTCCATAAGAAAAATCAATGTTGGCGGCCATATTGGAAAAATGGCTGCTAAAATAATTTTTTTTTACTTGACTACAATTTTTTTAATAAAATATCCATGGCACTTACCAATAACCTTTTTTTGATATCTCTTATAGTTTTCGAATAAAAAGGCTGGAACACTTATATCAATCACCCTGTAGTTCAAATTAGAAAAATACTGAGCAATAACCTAGGTTAGAAAGCCCACACAAACTACTTACAGTCACAACTACTCCAGTACATGGATAGTTGATCTTTAACCTAGTACACACATCGTGGGACATCCAAATCGCTCTCCAACCTGCTGGTTCTATATGATATTTCAAAAAAATGCTCCATTCCCTTTTCACATCAATGGCTTTCAAATCACTAGTTAAAATACAGTTATATTCATCCAACCTTTCCTGGAAACTCTTTGAAAATACGAACAAATCCTGAGCCATCATGTTGCTGTAAGCATCAATTTTTAGTAACAACTAACAACTTAACAACTACATACAACTGAACTAACAACAATGCCTTCAACCAGTGTTGCCAATCCAATATGGCCCAATTACCCCCTCCAGAGCAAAGAATTACCTGTTTTCCTCAAAAATACCCTCAACAAACCAAAAATTCCCTTTTAACAGTCTTGCCTGTCTCTAAAAGTAACGAATACAAACCCTGATAAATTAGTTTTGAGTAATCCAGTAATCCCACAAATGAAGATGTAAAGAACTAAATATAGGACTTGAGACTTGTAATTATTGACCTTCATAAATGAAATTTTCATTCTTACTGACCTTAAAAAATTAATTACCTACAGTACTTAAGCCTACAATGATTTGGTTTTTTAATGGTAGCCTATGTGATATACACTGAGCTAAAATTATAACTGGAGGTAGCACTGCCATGGCAGAAGTCTGTCAAAAGCGTGTCGCTGATTTTGTTAGGTTGGTATAGCAGTTGGTTTTCTTATCAAGCAATAACATGGCTTCTTATAACTAGGTTGGTATAGCAGTGAGTTTTCTTGTCATATCAATAACATGGCTTCTTATGACACCCGCCTCACGCAAACATGGCGGCTGGCGACACGCATCTTTGACATTCAGTGCTACCTCCAGTTAGAATTATAGCTCAGTGGTGATATACTGTAGTTATTTAGTAATGAGTAAGTGCTGTTGAAAATTTAATTTTTTACTAGTTTTAGGAAGAAAATAGTTATTATGACCAATCAATATTATTATTCCCGCTACCTATTTATATTTAAAATCGGAAAAAATTACTCAAGCTATCGTGTTCACGGACAAATATATAATTTAAACGAATGGTGTTTTTGGCCTCTGGGGACATCAAAATGAAAAAGTAAATCGGTCCCGGGCCTAGGTCTTACCATGCCCACCTACGGTAATAGCCAGAAGCGTTTATTATAATGGTTCGATTTGCGTTTTCAGTCTGCCCGTGCAGCTGAATCGACAGTCGATATCGACGCAACTTGGGAGGAAGTGGCACCACCACTAAGTTAAATGGTTAAATTTCGTTTAGCGAGTGGCCACGGCCGCCTTTAACTCCAGGCCGTGTTTAACACAGTATAGCCAAGGTCAGTGTGTAATAACTTTGTAATTTATTTATTTATTTATTTATATCCTCTCAACGGTCACACCATATTTTACAGCAAATACATGATTTGTTACATGTTGTATCAAATAGTCCACAAAATATTAAGCAACAGTAACTACTCTAACAATAAATAACAAATAATATAACAATAACAAAAGCGTAATAGCTATTTACCTTACAAGTGTAGTAAGAGCGTTTTTACATGACGCAGGTGAAGGTTGTGCAACGAGCGGAAGCGAGTTGCATAATTTACCTAAGTGATGTAAACACGCTCTTGCGTAACGTGTAACGTACAAGATTTTACCTGACCCGACTATATACAGGAGGTTACGAACAATATTAATCATTATCCATTTCACTCATCTTCTAACAGTAACGTTCATTTACAAACAAAAGCTAGGTTAGGAAAATTCTTCAAAACATAACAATAAAATTCAAGAGCACAGCTGATTTCTAGCGTTGTACGTCGTTGGCTCCATAGAGGTATATTTTTTAAGTTAATCACTCAATGTTATTTAAATGGGTTTCATTACATCACCGAGTGAGTTTTTGATACATTACATCACTCGAGAAGTAAGGAAGTTGTATACATCACGCTTGGGATAGGGAAGTTTAATATGGTGGGTTAGGTAAATCAACGCTAGAAATCAGCTGTGCGCTTGAATGTTATTGTTATACTTTAAAGTATTTTCCTAAACCTAGCTTTTGTTTGTAAAAGAACGTTACTGTTAGAAGATGAGTGAAATGGATAATGAAAAAATATTGTACGTAACCCTATGTATATAGTCGGGTCAGGTAAAATCTTGTACGTTACACGTTACGCAAGAGCGTGTTTACATCACTTAAGTGAATTATGCAACTCGCTTCCGCTCGTTGCACAACATTTACCTGCGTGATGTAAAAACGCTCTTACTACACTTGTAATGTAAATAGCTATTGTACATTTAACAATAATAATATCTACAATTTTGACTAGATACAAGTACAAGTAAGTGTAAGTGCTTGACGTTACAAACATGGATGATATTGACCAACAAAACAATGAAGAAATGGAAAAAATAAATTGTAGGACACTTGATTATGTATGAAGCCTGACTACATTGAGAAACAAGAAACAGTCAATGACACAGGGATACAAAATAACAACAAAACAACAATATAATGATAACGATAATGACTAATGATTGCTATATAAATGTTCAACACACTTCCGCCTCACCTGAGGGAGCTAAATAATAATATCTGTAAAAGCTAGTGTGGTGAAAACTAAAGCAATACTATAGATAAAACATACTCCTCTACTAACCAAAACCAAACCATGTATAGTACATGGTATAGTCCTACATTGGACAAGAACCTGTAGCTTGATTTCCATATACATCACCATCATCAAGAGCAACATAATGCTTAATCTACGGTAAAATTGAGCTAGACAACACGGGTAGACGGAATGTGATGCGTGCCGAACCAAACTGATGGAAGCTTGAGCTGATCAGCTGGAGTGTAAGGTAATGACGATTGAACCTAACCTAAAACAACAAATCATCTAACAGCTAAGCTAACCTAAAAAATCTGTGTCACTTTGTCAGCAAGTTTTAAATCAATCAAGAATAGAAAATGAGTAAATCTAGGGGAAAGAACGCGTTGGATTCTCTAAATAATGAGAACGTCTTGCAAGCTGTCGTCATAGTGGATACGTATTCCAGAAACTTGACTCCGTTTTGTAACTACATGCCAACTGTAAGTTGTTGACTAAGTTAGGCCTATCTTCTTACTTCCAAGTTAAACTCTGGAATTGCCAGTTAAATTCACCATAACGTCAGCCGGTTAATATGCAGTTAAATAAATATTTAACTTACAAAGATATGCATGGCCATGATCTTTTTGATCCTAACCTCCAAAGCTATCTCGCCTTAACTTTGGAGGTTAGGATCGAAAAGATCATGGCCATGCATCTAAATTCTCCACTATATCTTTGTAAATATTTATGTATATTCAGTGTTTGTATTTGTATAAATTCTATTCAACCAACAATATATCAAGTAAGAGATGAAAAAAAAGTTTAGCTTAGCCTAGGACTGACGATAACGCTCCGGCGTAGAAACCTAGGTCTCCACAATAAATCAATTGGATCGTAAGGTAAGCCTCAGATAATAACAAATAAATTGTAACTTATGGGTCATATACACGATAGGCCCTAAATGATATACCTGTAAAATAAGACTACAGTTCTGCACGGAACCTGCAATTTTATTACCGGATTATACATCCTCTTGCCCTCATGTGCTTAGTTACAACGCTCATGGCTTGGAGTAAGACTCTGTGCCATGTGCGATAGAAATTTCCGCACAGTGCTCGTTGCTCAGGCTCTTCCTTGCTCGTCAGTCATCAAAAGTATATTTCCGCCCCAACATACCAGAGCTGAAAGCGCAAGGTAGTCCCATGAGCTTGTTTCCTCTGTAGGTAACATACCGTACCATACTTCTCTGTAGGTTAAGTTACACAGTGATTTGTATTATTGATACATAATCTAAATGCAAGTTACTATAGGCCTATGGCCTTCAGAAGTTATTGTATTCACTAATAATATTTAATAGGCAAGCATTGTTCATTAACATACCTCAGCTGTTCATATGACCTAAAGTGAATCAATATATCTTAGCTAACTTTTTGATTAATAGAAGGTCAGTTAACTTCTCATGAAAATGGGGCAATTCCCTTTATTTTGTCAGATTTGTTTGAATGGCGGGATGGCTTCAATTTTTTTATGATTCCCTTTTTTTAATATGGCCAACAACTTCAATATTTCTTATCACTCTGCATGTTATGATTGTTTTAGTACAGTAGGCCTAAGAACAATTCTAAACCGTTTTTATTTTTGAAATTTTTTCTCTAAAGATACTTGTTTAGTTGTTGCAGCGTGTTACATCTAAGAAATATGGCTTGCGGTATACATTTTGCATCCTGTAGCTCATAAACGAGTAAGTTTGGAGAGGAAATGCAAAGAATAAATCAGGCTTAGGGCTAAAATCGTATCAATATCTAAATACAATAGCTTAAATAAATTTTAAAAATAGATCGTAAAATACATTAAAAAAATATCCAACATATTTAAGTTAAGTAATGCCGTAATGCCGGTACAGTTTGTTTTGGATCTTAGCACAAGTAAAATAACGGTGGTGTTTGTCAGTAGGCTACATAAAATATTCTGTGCCAAAAATACTAATCATCCCCTTTGTACTTTGCAGAGTCTCGTCCCACTGACTAATCGTCCGCTCTTAGATTACACTTTGGAATGTCTCATGTCTTCAGGAGTGCAGGAAGTAATATTATTCTGTTCATCATTTGCAGATCAAGTTCGGGACTTTGTAAGGTAGGCATAAGACTTTCAATGTTAGAATAAATGAAATAATATAGATATTTGTTAAACTACGACAACATGCTACAAAGTACAGTACTAATTATTTTCAATGCATTGACCTACTATTATTTTCTTTTCTCAGGGAAGACAAATGGCCTGGCCTGTCAGTCAGTGTCGTTGTTTCAGAAGGTTGTCGAACCTTTGGAGACGTCATGAGGGATCTTGATGCTAAGGCTTTGATTCGCAGTGATTTTATACTTCTCACCGGGAATATGGTTGGGAATTTGCAACTCCTCCCAATCCTTGAAACACACAAGTAAGAATTATTGCGTTGGTGTTCTATTTTAAATTAAGATAAACTAAATATTTTCTCCCTCTGCGAGTGAAAATGGTAGTTACAAATTGCTACATCAATGTTTTTATGAATGTGTATCAAATAGTATGATAACATATATCATGATAGCATATATATTCTGCGTATATCTTTTTGTTAATAGCATAGAATTTATGCATAAGAAATA